GAAGTGACTGGTGAAATAACTGTTTTCCTTCACACAGAGGAAATCCAAGTGAATCTTGCAGGATGGATGTGGGTTTGATATTCTCATTCCAGACTGGATGCTCAGAATGGTGGGTATTTAAAGGGAGGATCTGTGCTTTGACTAAGACATTCCCTCCTGAGTGACTGATCCATTAGGGATGGGCAGGAGTGGAGAATGCTTATTATTCCTTTGCTCTGCATCAATGGAAGTTTATAATTGATCTGTTGCACCAGTTGCAGATAGGACAGAGTTTTAAACTTTTTGGACCCCCTTTGCATGAATTCAGGGAAACCATCTTTTCGTTCCTTTCACTTCCACAAGCTTCAGCTTTCTGCATTTACCTAGGCACACAGGTATATTGAACATCTCTTTTGTGCCAGGCATCATCTTAGATATTTGGGAATCATAGTGGTGAACCAAACACACAGGGGCATGACTCATGGAAGCCGTCATCTAGTGGCAAAACAGTACTTATGCATTACTGTAGTGTTTTAGTAGGGAATTATAGTTAAAAATGGTCAGTGAAGGTTTATGTCAGAATGCTCAATAAGGTTTAGAAAGCTTACAAGGCATCTCTGGGGTATTTATATTGTGATCTAAGAGATGACTAGGAAGTAAATGAAGGAATGAGGTGGAGGGTCCAGGCAGAAGGAAGAGAGAGTGAGAATGTGAAGTCTGGGGATGGGACTGGGAGAAATCTGTGTGTTAAAGGAATTAAAAAAATATCACATATAGCTCTACAGAGCAGACACAGGGTGTCAGATTGATGATGGCAAAAATAGGGAACAGGTCATAAGGAGACCACCAGGCTCAGATTAGCACTGAGGGAAGGAACTCAGAAGGAGAGAGAGAGAGAGAGAGAGAGAGAGAGAGAGAGAGAGAGAGAGAGAGAGAGAGAGAGAGATACTATGAGCTAGACAGCTGGCCAGGAGAATCAATCAATTTGGGTCCGAACATAGATAGGCTCTACATGGTCATTGTCCTTCCCCAAGTGCACCAAACTAGTGCATGGTATTTGGAGTCAAAGAGTAAAGACCACATCTAGATACTGCTACTTATTGGTATGTGAACTTGGGGTAAAACATGGAGCCTCTTTGAGCCCCAATTTCCTCACTTTGCACAGGGTAATAGCAAGAGCTATCTCTATTGACTCTTGAGAGTTCTGAGTCAGGGGCCCTAGAAGGACTTACTGAGTGCAAATTGTTTTCCATTTAACATGGACCTTCTTCCCCCTACCCCCTCCAGGCTCTGCAAGGATCTCTGGCAGGAAGATATGTTTTACTTTACAGGAAATGTCCCTTTTCTTGGGGAGGGGGCAAGGGCCTTGCTCTGAGCCTGTGCCTTAGGTCTGGCAGAGCCAGGCTTTCGAGCTCAGTGTGTTGAGCCCTTAGTGTAGTTGAGGGGACATGGCCTTCAGAGATCACTGGCATCTTGAAGTTTCTGACCAGTCCCTAGGCCCTGAAATCTCCTCTCTTTAGCTGTTCAAGTAGTTTCTTGTCCCTCTTTACTCATTCTGCTTTTATCTGTTGCTGATAGCATGCAGAGCACACTCTTTTTCATGAAGCTGAATTAAATATCCCTCTACTAGCATATATGTTCTTATATGGCATGCTATATATTTCTCTATTACAAAGTGTTACAAGTATATACTGTCTTTCTAGTCTGCCAGTGCCAACTACTATGTGAGGTAATGAAGATATAATGGCAAACAAGCTTGAAAGGAAATTTACTTCCATGGAGGAAAAAGGTCAAGGAAACAAAACCAAGAAAATCTTAGTATGTAGAGAGTTACATGAAGTCAACAATCACATAATATAGTGGAGAGTGACTGCTACTTGGCACTTTTTGTTTGAGCTGAGACTTTAAAGTTGCAACTCAGCAGTAATTTAACTGCAGTTGTACTGCATTATGTTTACATTTTGATTTGGAGATGGTTAGAATTTTTATGATAATAAAATTTTCCCAACCTAGAACATGGTATGATTTCCCCCCAATTTTTATATCTTGCTGACTTTCTTCACAAAATTTTATAGCTTTCTTTCCTTAGTCTTACGGTTCACTTGTACTTATTTTTAAATATTTTAAAATAGATTTTGTTTTTGCCATTTTGTTACTGTGATTTTTAAAAAATTATATTTCTAACTTATGGTTGCTAAACTTGAGAAAATGTGTTTTACATATATCCCTTGTATCTAAGCCTTCTTTGCAGTTTTCTCTGTGGCCTTGGATACTGTCTTTTAAAAATATGTTAGAAACTAAAGTAAAGTACATTTATTACTATTTTTGGAACATCATGGTACACATACACAGATCCACACATATGTTTTATTATTTTAATGTTCTCTATACATATTTTTTAACCATTTACTCTGACTTGGACTAACAAAGTTTATTTACAGCTATTTATCAACATGTTTCTATCTTTCTTGTATTTTCTATAGTTTCTACTTCAAGAAAATTTCTGCTGTTTTGTTTGGTACTCAGATATCATATATATTGTATTTTAAACAAGAGCATTGTAGGGCTGGGGATTTAGCTCAGTGGTTCTGCTGCCTGGCTCGCAAGCACAAGGTCCAAAGTTTGATCCCCGGTACCAAAGAGAAAAAACAAAAACAATACCATTGTGAATGTAGGTTTTATTTTCATAAGGCAGCCTGCATATTGTTTAATACTTTTTGTCCTGAGTGAGTTCTGTCTTGGTTGGCATAAAGATCGTGTTCTTTTGTTCATATTAGCCTCTTATCATTTAATTTTCAATCATTCTGAATTACTTTATTTTAGCTATGTGCTGATCACATGAAAGAGAAAATGCTTTCAATTCCAGAAGAGTATCAAAAATCTCATTTAATGAACAGAGCTAAGACACATTCTTCAACCTAGTCTTTTTTGTAACAAAGGTAATTTTTTTCTTTGTTTTCACCTAACAGATTTCGTGTCTAACTCTTGGCTTTAGACCTTGGAGAGGCAGGCAGGGTTTCATGCACAGGCTTGCTCAACCCTGAAGTCATGACCTGCTTGAATAGTTTTAGTAGCTCCCTATAACGTATAGAATAAAATTCCAAATATTCGCTTTCCATTCAGAACTTTTCCACATTTGATACTGAAGTTGTTCTCTTTCCTGCTTTATTTCCACCATGTGCTCAAAGTTTCTGCTTCCCATCCCCAAGTTGGACCAGGAATTTCTACTTCCTGGCCTTTGGTCAAGAGTTTGCTTCATTGGGCCAGGGATTTAGCTCAGTGGCGCCATGCCTGCGTCACAAACACAAGGTCCTGAGTTCAATCCCCAAAAGTTTGCTTCACTATGCTGTGCATAGCCATCTGGTAAAACTCAGCTACATTTGTATCCTAAAAAGCTTCCTATTCTGTCCCGCTCTGCTTTCTGCTTTTATTACAATCTCTATCTCTCTCTCTCTCTCTCTCTCTCTCTCTTTCTCTCTCTCTCTCTCTTTCTCTCTCTCGTTTTGAGATTCTGGAGACAAGAGATCATGACTTGTTTTTGCTATTTCATTGATACCTTGAAGAGTAATCTGTATGTAACAAATCTTTGTCAAATAGTTGTTTGTTGAATACTGGTTTCTGGAAGAATGGATAATAAGAAATTTTGTCTTCAAAATATTGACTTTGGGGTATGATAGATCAGAACAGCCTGAGGTCAAAGAATCAAAATTTTGTAAGATTTTTATATAAGCAGGTTGAAAAATTCTCTGAGGTTAAGGATTAACCTATGTTATTTACCTGGCATTGTACCAGGTCCAGAGTTGGTACTGAATATCCGTAGAATGACTGAATGAGTGAATGTATAAAACTTTTTGATTCTCCTGAGTAGAACAAAAGAAAAAGAAAGTACAACTAACAAAATTGGGATAGATAGGAGTGTAGAGCAGTGATGGTGAACATACGGCATGAGTGTCATAGTAGGTATGCAGAGCTCTCTCTGTTGCCACACAAGCCAAGTTGCCCCAGCATGGTCCCAGGAGCCTAGCATTCAGGTTTAATTGCAGTGTTGGCACTGCGTGATAAATAAGTGGGTTTTAGGTTGCAGTTTAGACACTTGGCCTCTAAAAGGTTTGCCATCACTGGGTAGAGAAATCAAATAAAAAATCTATTTCAATGATCTTAAATTGGGTCTCCCAGGCTTTTTACCATGGTTTATTTAGTAGGCTTTAATAAGAACTTTAATACAAATATGAAATTGGTTAAAATATAATGAATGTTTAAATTTATAACATTTATCACTGTAAAAGACACACTGCCATTAATCTACCTCAAAATATTCCCCCTACTTTTGAGCACATTTATTCCATTGTTTTTGCCACTTTCTGAAGCAGTTCTGGAAGTCCTCTTTCATGAGTGTCTTTAGTTGCACTGTTATGGCAGCCTTGTTATCCTGAGTCAATTCAAAATCATGGTAGGTTTACTTTTCATGGTCATGTTGACCATGAAGTCGTCTGGTGCCAGATCCAGTGGAAAAAGTGAATGAGGACACATTATGATGTTTTTACATCAAATGGGACTTGGCATCAGCATTCACCATATATATACACATTCACCATATATATATATATATATATATTTTTTTTTTGGTACTGGGGATCGAACTTGGGATCTTGCACTTTCAAGGCAGGCAGCAGAACCACTGAGCTAAATCCCTGGCTCTATTCACCATATTTTTTTTATCACACATTGGTTGTTAAGACATGAAAAAGCACTTCCAGAACTGTTTTAAAAAGTGGCAAGAATGATGAGATAAGCATATTTGAAATGGGGGGGACATGTTTTGAGGGAGATAAATGGTGATGTGTCTTTTACTGTGATAAATTTTTAGAATTTAAACATTAGTTGTATATTTTGATTATACCTCATACATTGTCATTCTTTCTTCTCTAGAGTTCAGAAAATGCATCCTCACCAACCATCTGAAGTGAAACTTTTAACATAACTTTAATAGGGGTCACTTAAGATCTTTTTCTCAGACCTCTCAGCTCATGGCAGGAGGAAATCAAACCAAAGGTTTCGAGTTCCTCCTCTGGGGATTCTCAGAGTGGCCAGAGCAACAGAGCATCCTCTTTCTGCTATTCCTGTGGATGTATGTAATCACTGTGGCTGGGAACCTGCTGATTGTCCTGGCCATCAGTGCTGATGTGCATCTCCACACCCCCATGTACTTCTTCCTCGCCAGCCTGTCCTGTGCAGACATCCTGTTCACTTCCACCACTGTGCCTAAGGCCCTGGTGAACATCCAGACCCAGAGCAGGTCCATCTCTTATGCAGGATGCCTGACTCAGCTCTATTTCTTCTTGACTTTTGGGGACATGGACATCTTTCTCTTGGCCACAATGGCCTATGATCGCTACGTGGCCATTTGCCTCCCTCTCCATTACACAATGACTATGAGCCTCCGGCGCTGCACCTTCATGGTGACTGCCTGCTGGACTCTTACAAATCTTGTCGCTATGACCCACACCTTCCTCATGTTCCAGCTCTCCTTCTGCTCTAAGAAGATCATTCCTGACTTCTTCTGTGACCTGGGACCCCTGATGAAGGTCTCTTGCTCTGACACCCAGGTCAATGACCTTGTGCTTCTCTTCTTGGGGGGTGCAGTCATTTTAATCCCAGTTTTGCTAATCCTGGTCTCTTATATCTGCATTGTTTTAGCCATCCTCAGAGTCCCCTCTGCCCAGGGAAGGCGCAAGGCCTTCTCTACCTGTGGTTCCCACCTCACTGTGGTTGCCCTGTTCTTTGGGACAGTGATCAGGGCTTACCTGTGTCCCTCATCCTCTTCCTTCAATTCAGTGGCGGAAGACACAGCGGCTGCTGTCATGTACACAGTGGTGACTCCCCTCCTAAACCCCTTCATTTACAGCCTTCGGAACAAGGACATGAAGAGGGCACTGGTCAGACTTCTCAGAGGCAAAATCTCCTTGAAGGGCTAGTGATTTCTGCAGAGAAACTGAAGCTGTCCTCTCTTCCCTCTGCTGAAAGTCTTCCAGCAATTTCTACCTCAAGTCTCACTTCTGATCCTAGATGTACCTTATCCGCTGCTTCCCTCTCTGGCTCCCCACCATGAATTTGATATTGTTGAGGACAATCAAGATTTTGCATTGTGCTTTAATCTGTTCTGAGTTGCTTATTTGCTCATTTATTTTATAGTCATGTACTTCAGAATGATGCTTCAGTCAATGACAGGCCATATATATGACAGTGACCCCATAAAATTAAAACAGAGTTGAAAAATTCCTATTGATTGCCTATCAACCTTGTGTCCTAACATAGCACATTGCATTACTTGGGTGTTTGTGGTGATGCTTGTGTAAACAAACCTACTGTACTGCCATATAATTATGTATAGTACATAATAGTTGATAGTGAAATAAAAATTAAGTTACTATTTTATATTTACTATACTATATTTTTAATCATTATTTTGGAGCATATTCCTACTTATAAAAGTTTACTGTAAAATAGCATGCTGTGTTAGGCTGACAAAAACCTCATATACCCTCTATTATCAATTATTTTCATTGCAGAAAAAGGCAATGTTGAGTGATTGACCTATATCTTCTAGGTCTGTGTAAGTACACTTTGTGACGTTCACATAATGATGAAATTGTCTGACGCATGTCTCAGAATGTATCCTTGTCATTGAGACACACATCACCCTACTTATTAGTAACTTTTCACAAAGAGAGATATCTTTTGCAAACTCATAATTCTAAAATTTGTGAATCTTTCGTGTTAGTTTATCAAATCTTGATTAGTGGTCATGGAAAAAAGGGTAAAGACAAAATAGAAAGTGATGTCAATGTTGGATAGTAAAGATTTTCAAATTTAAGTGAAAAAATAAATATGTTTTCCCCATAAAAATAGCAAATTAGGGCTGGAGATTTAGCTCAGTGGTTCTGGCACCTGCCTCACTAGCGCAAGGTCTGGAGTTCGATCCCTGGTACCAAAAAAACAAAACAAAACAAAACAAAAAAAGGAAATTATACACTTTCTGACTCAAGGTCATGAACCATTAAAAATATTTGTAGCTGTTGAAACAATGCTGTCAAGAATACAGAGGTGATATATGTTCTTTTTAGTAAAAGGATTTATAGATAACTTACAATTCAAAGATTGATTAAATAAATTAAAGTTAAATTTTATGGATACTAGGGTGTGGCTATTCTCTAGCTTCCTCATCTGCTTACATCAGGCTGATTGTAAATGTTATGTGTGTGTATCTGCTTCAAGCCCATGAGGAATTTACAGATTCAGCTGAGATTCTGGTCATCTCAGGGAGTATGGCACAGAGGGCGGTGGAGCACACACATCTTTTCTTCCTTGTGGTGAGTAGCAGCCCCCTCTCCTGGCAGGAGTAAGGCAATCAGTGATAGTACCAAGATTCAGAGGGCAGGTGATGCTTTCAGGAAGAAGGGGTCAAAAGAGGCTGAGGAGATGCACAAGGTTGATGTTTAATACAATCGATGCCTTCAGTCATTGATCCATTTGTAGTTTTTAATTTTATCCAGCTCCTTCCTATCCTATAGTATGGGGCCTCCATTTGTTGTTGTTTGTAAAATGTATTCAGCCTCAGTCCTTTCCAAAAGGGTGAATATGCATCCTGTCATTCAGAATTCCCCCTAAGGTAAAGGCCAAGCTAATGGCCAATTATGAGCTAGAACAAATTTAAATACAAGTGTAGTGAAACAAGATATAGCTCCCACTCCTTCAGGTTGTCCCAAGTATATAACTGAAGATCACCATGTCCACTTTCCACTACCCATTCTCAATTTCCCTCACCTACACTATTATGTTGGCAGATGTCATGGTTTGATCTGGAATGTCCCCTCAAAGCCTCAGGCACTTAGAGGAGAGGCTTGTGCAAGTTGACTGGATTATTGGGGCACTACAGCTGGCTTGCTGTTAGGAGGTGGGGCCTAGTTAGAGGTAGGTCACTGGGGGTGTGACCTGGAAGGGTCACTGTAGAATTCAGATCCCCTTCTTCAACTATGGATAAAACAACCAGATAGAAAATTAAGAAGAATATAGGAGAACTCTATCATACCAGCAACTAACAGTATCTATTTGACATTTATGGGTCACTCTCTTCAATAACAGCAGAACAAGCATTATTTTCAAGTGCCTACAAAACATATGCTGAGATAGACCATTCCCTGGGCCATGAAATAAACCTCAATACATTTAAAATTGAAATGATACTCAATGTGTTCTCTGACCACAATGAAATCAAACTGGAAATGAATGACAGAAAGATATGAGAAAAATTTCCAGATACTTGAAAATAAACACCATACTTCTAAATAACCCATGAGGTTGATACACACATGTACGAAGAGGTTGCGGGCCAATGTTACTTACAGATATAATTACAAAAGCCTACATAAAATACTAGCAAATCAATTTTAGTAGTTTATTCTGGGAGGACAAGTGTGGTTAAATATTAAGCTATTAACTGTGATAGGCCCTAAAAAAAATCTGTTTAAAATGCAACAACTATACTTGGTTACTAAAACACTACTGGTAAAATATGAATAGAAGAATCAGCCTGCTGCAGACAGGTAGGTACCGAGTCAC